ACTACCAGATGTTATGAATAAGTCATTCATTTTGAGAGAGTGGATCTAAATTTAAAAAAAAAAAACAAAACAAAACAAAAAACAACTCATGCAGAAAAGAACAATATGTAGGCAGTCATGAAAATCAAATGTAGTAAATCAGGGGATATGAGTACAAGTGGGCAGTTGTGGATGGTTTCGAGGTGGTAATTTTGGATGTAGCTTCAGAAGCAGCATTCACAAATAATGATGCTCATCTGCATGACATAAGCATCTTTCTCAAAATTTGGAAGACTATCTCAGCCACAATATGGCTTGTAAGTACCTTAAGCTGGTGAGGGGTGAGTGAGAAAGGAAGCAGAAGAAGAAAATACACACTTAGGAGACTTACTGACAAGTATAAACATACTTCAGCTTACAGGTTAAATCTGTGAATAACACATTTAATATATTTCTGTCACCACCTTAGTAAACTCTCGTTCTGCAAGCAGGTTACTGTCCCACAGTGTCAGTCAGCCTAGCACTGAATATCCTGTGAATTCWCTGGTATGATTAATGCTTTATTAGCATGCACTAAACACATGCCACAGTTCCCTTCTGTCAAAGTTCATTAAAACAGAAATGCACAGGTAGCTGCCATTTCCTAACAAGGCACACAGTTTTAAAATGCTGTGGTTTACATACAGTGGGAAACTGATACATTGGATGCATTTTATAATGTTTTGTGTAAGAAAAATAATTTCAAATAATACTCTTTGCTCAGAGCTTATTGTCTTGCTCGGAAAAAAAACAAACCATCAAAACGAGTATTTTTAGTTTTTTTTTAAATGTGTTGACTAGAAACAGAACACATTTCCTAAGAATGCAAAACATAGTTTCCTTACTACAGAATCTTTTAATGGCTTACATCATACTGCATTACTTACATCATAGACATCCACAAATGCAAAACTTGTGTTCAAGTTGAACTCTTGATCAAACCACTGCATAACAAAAGTAGAACACATTAGGACTGCACAGTGCAAYCTGATGGAAGATTACCCATTATACCTGCATTGCAACAAGGATCTTACCTACCAACAGTGCTCTGACTCTGTCCCAGTGCTCTCTAAAAGCAACAGAAACCTTCTTTTACRTGTTTTTCTTTTACTTAAAAAAATCCACAGACTTTTCTATTATTGATACACAGAAAGTACCAGAGCAGCAGCAGGCATACCTACAGGATTACACCTTTGGAACAAGGAGTCACTGAAGTTTTGCCAAGTGGTGCAGGCAGCAAAAATATCTCTCAACTGACTAAATTCTTCCCTCTTTGAAATAGAGCCACTGAAAATTGTTTCCAACAAAGCACTGCAGTTGTGGACTCACAGAGATAAGAAATTATCACTGTAATAGGAAACAAGGGAAGCAGGTGAAGAGGGATGTTGAATGTTTTGATGTTGTAGCTCAGTTTGTAAGTGCAAGGCTGAGCCCTAAATAAAGGAGTGGTATTGAAGTCTTCTTCAACTGTGCTGCTATAAGCATTGTTACACTATTGGTATAAATAGGAGTCATAGCACATGCTGTGGTTATACTCCATAAATCCATAGTTAACTCAGAGCCAACTTCCTTTTCAKGTCACTATTAAATCACTTTAATTAGAAAACAGTTACACATTACTTACAATAATAAAAATGCAAACCTGCTACCAGGCAGGTGTTTTAAATCTAGGGATTTACACCCTCCTCCATCTGTGTCCTTGACAGGACACAGCTACAAAATCCTGAACTTCATTACAGTAYCAAGCCTGGAGACATTCCTGCGTGTTTTATCTACTGCTTTCGTGGCCATCATATCCAGTGCTGATGTGCTTGTTATCAACACTCTTCAAAACCAGGCCAGCACATGGCTATATCAACTRATGTTACTGCTATAAAGTCAAACAAAAGGCTCAGGAACAGCTATAGAAGATGCTGTCCCCATACTTCCCCTACTCTCAACCTCCTCTGACAGTTTGTGACACCTGTTTTAAAAGGCAGCCACACATCTACTCAGCTCTCTACAATCTCTGCTCAACTTGGTAATGAAGACCTCAGAAAGATCAACTGGTATTTTATAACCAAATTAACTTTTACATTMATGTCCATTACTCCAGTGAAAATAATTCACTCATGGAAATAACTAAACTCCTTGTGCTCTGGCAGTTAATTCCATTACCTAGATTTCCTTTAAGTTTTTTTCTTCCTCTGTCTGATGCTGTTCCTTTATGTTCTCCCTTTTAAAGGAAACATGGTGACAGYAAGAAATGGGTACTTCTACTTTACATTAACATGGCATCTCTCATCTAAAGACCTTTTTCCACTAATAAAATATCAGGCCACCACCAAAGAAAATGTTTCTCACCATAGTCYTCATTGAAACAAGCAGGGCCACACACTACAGTGCCTTTAAAGTTATAGAACACAGGTGTATGTTTAAATATGAAGAATATTTGGGGCAAGAAATTGGGGCAAGATCRCACTGTAGAGTCCTTTAAGGCCCCATCTCTATGTTGGTAAATGAGTCTTCCCTGAGCTGTGCAAGTCCCTCACAAACCTGATTCCCAGGTCTTCAYGGGAAGCAAAAGGCTTCAGTAAAACAATGCAGGTCCTGAGTCCCATGTTTCCTTTTTATATACATATGCACACAGACAGATACATGCACCTAAAGACATATGTCTCTACCTTCTCTCCTTCAGCAGCAGAGGCACTGATTGAGGAAATGAATCAAACAAGCCATCTGTCCAAAGGCCTGTCTTTCACAGGGAGCTTTAATGAACTCTGAAACATTTGMAGAGAGCCTTACCTTTGAGCCTTGAAGCCAACTCTGTAGGGCAGGATGAAAAATTCCTCAGATAACCTGCTCCTTGGCACCATATGGAGTGGAATGCACTTGGCACAAATACAAGAACTTGACTCCATAAATTGCAAGGATTGGTTTATCACAGGAGGCAGCCCAACTCCTCCCTGAATCATATTCTCCTTCACTCGGAGGAGACTTTCTCACTGGCTCTTATTAAAATACAGCTTTTACTCTGCAACACTTCTGCTAATGGCTTTGATCGAGGCATGAATAACAAATGCATATCCATATTCACTTCTTTAGACAGTCTGCTGTGACAGACTGTCTAAAACAAGCTAATTCTTTACATGGAAATTGTATTTACAAGAGGGTACTTGCATGGTCAATATAAYAGAACAATATTGGTATAGGCTTAAGTTAATTAAACCAGTTGGACGGGGGCTTCACAGCTCAGACACGATGCAGCCCTTAGGCTCCAAAAGCATATAATTTGAAAAACACTCAGAAATTAACAGATTATATAATCGCATATGTTTTTAGAAACTGACCTTCTGAACTAAGTTGCTGAAATGCTTCTACCATACATAACATGTCTGAGAACAATAAAAGATGTAATAAAGACAAAAGGTCAAAATGTTTTCTAGCTTTAGCATCATCATGGGAGCTTTGAAGCATGCTGCTGCATCACTGAAAGAAGAAAAAGAACCCCAAGTGACMTTGTGATACTCAAGGATCTGGAATGAAACCAGCAAGTCTCTTTAGCAAGAATCATATAATATGCTGAGTTGGAAGAGACCCATCAAAATCATCTAATCCAGCCCCTGGCCTTGGGCAGGAGAACCCCAAGACCAGTAAGGTAAACCTTGAGTGGGTTCTGATCAGTATGAAACAAAAAGTGAGTAATGCAACATAGTTCTGAAAATGGAAGATGTGCTTTTATCTGAAAGCAGCTCTCAATAACTTCACTGACACCAATGGAAAAAAACTTTAATGAAACAAAGAAAAAAATAAAAATAAAAAAAATTAAAAAGCAGTATTACATTTRTAATTTCTGTAAGCTCCATGAACTCCAATGCTCAGTGTCATTAGAGTGGTGAATGGTACCACATCCTCTTGGTKGCCATTCACCAGTGGATGAGGGGATTGAGTGCACCCTCAGTAAGCTCATGGATGACACCAAGTTGGGTGGGAAWGTTRATCTGCTGGAGGACAGGAAGGCTCTRCAGAGGGATCTGGMCAGGCTGGATTGATGGGCCAAGGCCAGTAGTGTGAGGTTCAATGAGGCCAAGGGCYRGGTCCCGCTCTTGGGCTGCAACGACCCCAGGCAGGAACACAGGCTGCAGGTAGAGTGGCTGGAAAGCTGCCCCATGGAAATACAAAATTAAAAAACGAAAGGACAGGTGGATTCTGAACATGCAATGCTCTGAAAATGAAGTGATTCTACTATTCTCTATTCTGTCTTCAATCAAGGCCACAGCCATGTTATATTTTCAAATCAATTGAAAGAAAACATTCTCTTCCAGGAGYACAAAAGAAAGATATTCTTAACCAAGTAAGTAGTTTGAGGTAAATTTCTGATTCGTATGTTCAAACTATGTCCAGCATTCTTTAAGARGCAAAACAAGATGACTACAGTGGGGTTTTCTTTGAACTTGATTTCTCTTCCTTCCTCCCATRTTCTACCACAGAATGCCAGACACTCACTTATATAACTTCACTTGTTCATATTACACCTGATTGGTTTTGATGCAGCTGTCTCATGTAAATAAAATCACATTTCTAAGTATTTGCAGATTGTATATGATAATTGCTGCTCCCAAGTCTGTTCATTGCATTTTCATGGACTGTAAGCAACATTTTTTGAACACTAAGTTACTTTTGCTCTTTACTCTATCAAAAACTCCTTCAAGAAAAACCCACAGGCAGCCCTAGAGAAAATAAAGAACAATGAAACAAAAAGCCAGCCAGGACAGATACAATTCTGTTACAGAAAGAACCTGTAATAATAGTGTTTGCTCAGCACTTGTCTGACAAAGCAGTGAGTAGTCAGAAACCTTCCGGCTGAACGATTTCCGCAAAAGAGCTCAAGGTTCAGAGGAGACGGCACACGGAGCAAGATGKGTGCAGCTGCTGCCAGTAATACTAGTGCTGGACTCATTAAAGATTTAACCAGAGAAGTCACGTGTGCACTCAGAAATGGCTGACAACTGCCATGCTTAACACACATGTCTCAAAAACTTTGGGAAGAGGCAGCAAAATGGAGTTACATTTGGACGAGGAGGATGGCACATTCACCAGCATTTCTTTGGCAGAYGACTCAGGTAAGAAATTACAGTACTCTACTGATACAATACAAATTGCACAGGCTGAATAACAGCACCATGGGAGCAGGCAAGTCTGTCCTGATTATGAGGTACGAGGTATTTTTAGCAAATGCCCTCAAGCAAACTTTTTTAGTTGCGTGGTTGAATRAGCCTTGTGATGAGTTAAGAACTGAGTGTTTGCAGGTATGGAGGCTACCACAGTTTTCATATATTTGCATATGGTAATTTACACTCATTAGCTGAGTACATAGAGCCTTTCACTGGTTAGAGGGACATTGTTTCAGAAGTAATAACCCAGTAGTTACTACAATCAAATAAAATACAGATAATGCTGTATATGGAAAAAGAAACCTCTAACATCCTCTAGTGAGAACTCATGAGAAGCGATACAAGTTAATTGGTAATGGAAATAAGAAGATATTTTAAAACTCCACTRGTAAGCATTTAATTGTTTTAAAAGAAACTACAAAAGCAAAGACTGCCTACCCCTTCACCCCCTCCTCCCCAACTTGCAGAATAAAAATTACTTGGAAAGAGAAGTAGGAGAGTACTACATAGGGGAAAATGAAGTGCGTTAATATGAATTATTTAGAAAGGTGTGGCCAGAGTATCAACTTGATCATGTCAGCATAGCTGCCAAAGACCTGTGTTAATTTACACTACTAGGCATCTAGATGGCTTATTTTTGAATAATACGAGCTACATTTCCTTTCCTCATCCCTATTTTTTTTTTTTTTTTGCATAAAGAATGTTATTATGATGCTGTATTTACCTCCAATATAAAAAAAACACCAAACCAATGAAATCCACCAAGTTAATCTTATTTCTAGAACACAATTTTCTAACAATTCCAAATTAGTGTGATGGGGATGAGCTGGATGTTTGAATACATTTCATTTGCACATTGTATAGGGCTACCGACACCAAGATGTGGCTGGCTCAAACTATTCACAAGACAATTTGCCAGAATTTGGTCCAAGGTGTGCAATAGTGAAGGGTTCTCCTGACAGTGAATCTCACTCTTTCCCTGTAGCAGGGTGTAGAAGAGAAAAGGTCTCCTATAGGACACTGTTTTGTCACCTGCTGCACAGCTGGCAACATGCTGAGAACAGATTGGGGGGCAGCATTGAGTGGCACGATTGTCTTGTCTTTGAAAAGCATCCAGAAGTAGCTGAGTTAGGAATGACCCCATAATACTGGATGGGTTCCAATCTGCCCTGTGTCACAGAGGGGTGCTCTTGCCATATGGCTTTCTTAGTCTTTCAGGAAATGCCAAATCGCTTTCCTTCCAAAGGCAAACACCCACCAGCCTCCTGCCCTGCTCTAACCTCAGCACCTTGCAACTGGGAAAATGTTAATACCTGTGAGAAAAAAGAGGCACAAGGTTAAAAACTCTTATCCAAGCACCAGCTGCCAGTGGGTTTCCAAGATAATCTTGGTATTTGGGGCTTGATACTCAAAACCAAACCCTGACAGGTGTCATTGCTATAAGAGATCTCAGCAACACAGCAAATAGGATTGTACTGTACTTCAGAAACTGAGTACTTCAAATTTGCTGGACTCTTGACTGCAGCAGAACCAGGAGACCAGCCAGGGTCCGAGAAAGTTCATGTTCACAACACAGAGGCTTCTTTAATAAAGATCTGCCACCAGCATTACACCTTTTCCTCTGGTAGTGAAGAGGTGGGGAACACCRCTCAGAAAGTAGAAGTAAAGTAGAMTAACTGAAGATAAGTGACATTTTCAGGCAAGCTTATAGCTTGAAGGCATAGAGAGTAAATATAGTAAAATTCACGGTGAACATGATAACCCTGGTCCATTTCTTCTGCCGGGGGCAACACCTGGAGATTAGAAAGGTATAAGAAAATTCCAAACCTAAAATAGGAAGAGGAATTTGTCTGTAGGAAAAAGTCTTCCTTAACTCTCCCAGCTGAAGTTAAAACTAATTACAGTAACTCTGGGGCATCAAAACTAACAGTAGAGTGRAACTTACAGCTCTAATAGTAAGACTGGAGAATAACATAAATTCTAGAAGAGCAGGGAAGTGAAAAGTCTACACAGTGAGAGGGATTAAAAGATTCCTTAGGATGGACAAGAGCAAGTTCAAGCAAAGAGTGAGGAAACTAGGCATGCAAGATGTAGATCCTAAGTGGACTTTGTGAATTATGATGTGTCTTGGTTTGAAAGACTGGCGTTTGCCAATGAAGGCAGGGACGCCCCTTGGAGTGGTGGATAGGACCCCCCCCTTCCCTCTGAATTATTATAGCTTTGAAAATCATAGGCTTTCAGGCAAGAATATGGGTAAAAGGGAATAACAGTTTTTACTAATATATATAACAAGGTGAAACAAGTAACAATAACAATAGCAACAACCAGCCCAGTCCCAAACCCAGTGACAGCCTTACAGAGACACAGCCTCCCCTTGGGTGCAGTTCCAGTCCCAGTCAGCAGGGGCGCTGTTGGCTCCCGGCTGGGCAGGGCGGGTGCGATGATTCCCCCGCGGCTGCAGGGGGCGCTGTGGGCGGGTCCCGGCTGGTTCAGATCTCCCGCGTGGCCAATGGTGGACACGAACCGGCAGAGGTGGATGGAGAAAAGTTCCTCTGCAAACTCACAGGGGAAACGCCGATCTCGGTGCTCCTCTGGACAGCAAGAAACCCCAGAACAGCCAGATGAGCAAAGAGATGAGCAGAATCCCGTGGCTGTAGATAGGTTGCAGCAGAACTCGACCACTGCAGCTGGAATCCCAGGGGTCCCCGGCAAGGCACAGGGGCAGAAGATCACAGTGCAGCAAACAGGAACCGGCGACAGGAGCTGATTTCTGCAGCAGCAGATACACCATCCTCCCCCAAGACAAGCAGGGCAGGAATTGAAGCTACCCCCGCCCCACACATACACTCACACACACACACATCACACACACACACACACATGCCCTCCACAAGCCCAAAACTCCTGCAAGAACTTCCCTCTCTCCAAAGAGAGGGAAAAAAAAATGCCAGACAGAGTGCACAGGGAGACTCTTCAGGTGGGGCGTAGGTTCTTCTGTCTTCCCCAATCACCCAGCCATCAAAAGAATGACTTGGCAATCAGTGTATCCCAGCAACAAAAGGGGAAAGAAAATTCCCCAARAAAGGAAACAAAAGGAGAAACCTTAATCAAAAACATGATGTTTTACACGCAAGTGTTCCTTAGTTAAATATTAAAAAGGTTCATAAAGATGCACTGGTTTTCATGAACTTGAGCACATTTGTTACTGCATAAGGTTTTCCCCTCATTGTTTAAAACATACTGGAAAATATACTAAACAGTCAAGTAGAACAACACCTTGTAGATGTACAGTCTGAAGGATAATCAGAATACAGCCTTCATATCCAAATTTCTTTGGTAGAGTGAAAAGCCACTGTGTCAAAGCAATAGGGGTTAYTGAGCCTGATTAACCAGCCACGAATATTTCATATTCATTGCTCTTTCAAAACAGCAGTGACTATTTATTAAGTATGCAGGTATTAAAAATAAAACACTTCCATGCAAACACAAAATGGTAGCAAGATAGAAACTTTCTGATAAGTATTTTCATAGCAATATYAACAGTGCGTGAAATCAAGGAAAGCATTTGTGAAAATACTTTCACCTTTAATGAAAGAAATACTTTTCAATTCAGAAACTCATAGCACTAGACAAAGTTCCCTCAAAAAATGACCTACCCAAACAAAAGCACAGAGGAAATTAAACCAGAAGTAAAACAAAACAGTGAAATGCTGTCCAACATCTGCAAAAATTGCTTTCTTGTACTGCCGATCAATGTTGAATAAGCAGATCAAGGCCCTCCTCCCTAATTGTAGAGTACCCAGAAATTATMTTACACTTTTTTCAAATATGCTTGACAGAAAGCCAACACTAATGACTACATTTCTCCTTCCTTTTAAAAGCAGATACAAGACTTGCAGAAAGAAAAAGTAGTTTTTTCATCTCATTAAATTACCAGGAAAGCTTTATGGAACCTTGCTAAATATCCTTTCACAAAATCTAGTGGCAAACMTATAGCTGATGATTTCAAGGAGGATCAGACAGTTAAGAGGGCAATGTTATGTAATATATGTCAGCATTCACAGCCCAAAGCTGCAAAGAGTGTGGTTCCTCAGTCTGTTTAAAAATGCATTTTTGTGGAGTCAGTAGAAATGAGAACTTTCGCACTCATGCTCAATCTTGCAAGAGATAGGATGCAGCTGTATTTGGCTATATAGGTAAATGTAGCTATATGAAGGCAGGCCTCTTCCAGGGTAAAGAGAAATTAYAACTTTTTGAGGATTGCTTTTAGTAGACTTTCTAAAGAGATTGAATTTTTTCATTCTAACTGTAAGCTCACAGGTCATCTGATGAGGTCCTCTTCTCATTCAGGACCTAAGGCAAAACCAAGACATGCACACAATGTAAGGACACAGATGAGTTAGAACAATGTAAGCGAAAGTATCTGCTTATTTTGTATAAATTGATTTGGTTGGAAAAAGCACAATCTAAGTCCTCAAATTCTACATTTAACAGAAGTCCCCAACTGTAAATTTGCACAAGGATATACAGTAGGCTACAAAAGACTTTTGAAATTACTCTGAAAGAGTAATAATAATTGCAGAGAATTTGGTGTAAAGCAACATTACATGAAGAAAACAACTTCTCAGAGTCTGTTATTTCTGCAGAGAAACAAAAGGATAAAGATTTGATGTAAAGGGTCTTGCAAATTAGCATTGCAAGGAAAAAKACTTAAGCCACTTGTGTTCCTTTTTGTAATTTTCTTTGTGACAATAATTAGTCAAAGAAGCAAACAGTACAGTTCAAATAGCAAAATCATCACAGAAATATGTACAATGCCTTCCTCTGTTAGTGAGAAAAAGGATACATTTCTATTGTAGTGGGGAACAATGAACCCTCTGTCATCAGTCAGCTTATGCAGGTGCCTCTGGTGCCTGGAATGCTGCCAAAGGGGAAGTCAGAGGCTTGTTGGTTTGCACCGTGTGCCATGGAAAAACAGGATACAAACCAGAGTTTTAGAAATAAAACATCTGCAAACGTTTGTCATTAGCAGCAATGACTGAGAGTGCGAGTGCAGAGCAAGAAAATCCTCTCCTCTCAGTTTGCAACTGTACCTGTATATGAATTCAAGTAAACTATTAATGATAYTTTATATCCTAGGGAGATTGTTATACTTTACGTAATAAATGTTCTTACAGTGAAATTGAATAAATTAATTCCTTTTGCCAGTGACATCAGCTAGGTTTAGAAAATCTAACTAGAACTTAGGATACAAGTGTAGATCCATTTGTAAACTGAAACTCATTCCTATAAATTTAATATAATGACAATATTATGAATGGCTCACCTGATTTAACCAAATGTGTTAGAAAATATGCTGTAGCACTGCCTGAAGTTGTGACAGGTACAGGGCTCATCAGATCAACACTCCCACTCAGCTTGGTGTYGTAAGAGACAGAGGTGCCTTCTCTGGAACACAACCTGCATTATAAAAGGAATCTGATTGCTGGAGATATATCCTAAGTCCCTAAAGCTTTACATTTAAAGCGGACAAAAATTTTAATTGATAATATATTACATAATGCAAGACAGATAAGGTAAGGAATTTGAAAAGGCAGTCGGTAAATCATGTGATATATTAAGCTTTTGTGGTTCTGGTTGATTTCTCATTTAAAAAAAAGAATACTTTGGGCTTTGTACCTTTATTCTCTGATATACTGGGTTTGGGAATTTTTGCATTTGTGTTTTGAGTGTGTGTGCATTTTTTGGTCTTTGTTTAAAAGTAGTGGTGCATTGGATATTTAGAATTCTGGAGCTACCTTCTTTGCACTGAAAAATGGAAGGTTAGGAATGCAAGCCTTTTAAAGGGAATGCAGGATAATCTAGGCATTCTCTCWGAGGAGTTTACACCCACCAGTACCAATCCAAACATTTTGGTCCCTGTACTGTTCAATGCTAACCTGGTTAACACACAGCACTGTAGACTAAAAATGCCATCTGCTCTCTGCTGATAACCCCTCTGCAATGCCAACAGTGGAAACTCAGAAAAACAGCTTTCTCTAAAGGAAAACCAAAAAATCTCTCAAAGAGTTTGACTTCTGCAAAGGAGTTCATCCTGGTGCTCACRTTCAAACTTCAGAGAAACCACAACCAGGCAAAGTGGAATGAATCCCCAACGGTGCACATACAAAAAAAAGAAACAGGAGGTAAACCAGCACTCTTGAAATTACTACTGTTTTGGAGGAGACAGTATGTGTGGTTTCCATTCTGTCCCATAATTTAACATCAAGGATTTTCCCCCTTTGCTCATTTTGGGACAGTTTTGACAATAATCTCCAACTGTAATGCAGCAAGAAAAGTGGAATTTCTACAGAGATGCATTTCCTCACGATCAGCCCACAATAATTTTTCCCTCTCTAACAGTACAAAAMCACATTCTTCACCAGGTAAGAAAGGCCTCTATCCAACTGCATACATCTGTAATATATATTATTCTACTGTATATATATATATATTCTACTGCCATAGAATCTGGCAGTAATTTTTTCCCCTTTTAATCAAAGTGCTGGGAATTGTCTCATTAGAAAGAATTAGGAGAACCTGTTGATTGCCAGGTTTGCCACATAACCAGTGCAGCAAGCAAGATCAAAAGAGTRTGAGAAGCACCTGGCATTTTAAAAACAGCAATCAAGGAGATTCTCTAATAAGCTCCTRAAGCCCAGCTACCACCTGAGAGAAGTGCTTGCGAGGAATAAGATGGATTGCTTGTGTTGAAAATGCCCTTTATAGAGATAGTGAATATACTTGTAAGTAAACTAGCTAATGGAACCGGAAACAGACTCATTTTCCAGTAAAGATGAACAGCAAGACTCGAATTGCAGTACGTTTTCCAACCTTGGACAGAGTTCAGTCTAATCTGAACTTATCYGATTGTAAGGTTAAAAAAAGTCATTGACACAATGATAATAATACTGTGGAGGCAGTCAGAAGATGTAGATGTTAGTAATATACCATTTTTGAGATGTATTTAAAAATACAGTAGAGGGCTCACTTCCCAAATGCCTTTATCTTCCTGGGTGTCTGCAAAGTATTGAATTATTTATTTATAACTAGATATGTTACTGCAATTTACAGATAYAAAATGGATATATTTCACTGCAACACACCGCTCAAACTATGTAGTACGACAGGCCATGCAGTGCAGTCATTTCAGTGAAGCCACTAGAATTAGCTTGGGTCATCAATGTTTTTCATTCCTTTACTGTGGCTCGTAGATTCTGTTATGAGGTCAAAGTGTGGGCCCGGTGCAGCATGTTCTGCAAGGGTTATTCCCTCCAGGAACCAGGGAAAGAAAAAACACACACGAGTGCTGTTTTGGAGTTACTGAGCCATTAGATGAGAACAACGCTGTGAAGTGACTCGGGTTCTTGTGTGATGTGATCTCGAATGCTGTGAGACTCAGAGGCAAGGAGCTAAATCACAAGTTTCTTACTCTGGACTCGGCTGTGAGAAAGTGCCAGACCCGAAGGAGCTGGGCCAGGTGTACACAGCACTGAACCGGGGCAGACAAACCGCGCTGGACTCCGCCTGGAAAGCTCCACATACCTGGGAGTTAACACCACCCACACACGTTGTTTTCTCGGACCTTTCTCAGGCTTTGCCAACCTACCTAAATCCGAAGGGGTTACAMATCAGCACACTGGTGTGTGTGTTCTTAACTTCTTCTGAACACTACGAAAAGCGGCCAACCATTGAGGACCGGTGCTTGGACACTGGCAGTGCATGACCACTGGACGAATTCATCAGAAGCATCATCTTACTCGCCATTCAGCGGGACGGGGCGGGGCAGGGTACGGCTGGAGGAGCCCGTGAGGGTCACAGTTGTCACAGGCACTGTCACAGTCAGTGTCACAGGGGCTCCCCCGCCCGCCACAGCGCCCTGAGGCGCGGGGGCAGATGGCGCTCCCGCCTCCCCGCGCGCCCGGCCCCGCCCCCTTTGGCCCCGCCCCTTTGTGCCCCGCGCGCGGCGCAGGCGCGTTGGCAGCGCGGAGCGGGCCGGGCCGGGCCGGGGCGCAGCCCGCGGGAGGCGGCGGCAGCGGGGCAGGTGCGGGGCGGCCGCGGCGGGATGGACGGAGGGATGGGGGTGCGCCGGTCCGGCCCGGGCTGCGGGGTGTGTGCAGGGCCGCGGGGTTGCCGGAGAGGTCCCTCTGCAGTGCTACCACCCGGCCGGCCGGCGCTCCCCGGCCCGTCCCGCAGCGCCAGGCGGCGATGGAAGGGGCGGGCTGTGGGGATGCGAGGGACCCGAGCCCAGCAATCCCGGACCGCAGGTCCGTGTACTGGCCGAGGGTGCGGGGACAATGCAGGGCCCTTCCGCTTCGGCACTCGGGAATGGCCCATTGCAGAATAACCCGGAATGATCGGAGCTGAGAAGGAGGCGATTACATCATTGAAAGTGCGATATTTCATGCTTTGCAGTAATCTAGATCAGTTATTTTTGTAAACAGAGGCATAGTTACTCGACGAACCATAGGCCTACGAAGAAAATAAAGAATGGTGAACAATGTTGCTCTGCCTTAGGCTAAAGCACTGGGCCTTTCACCACCAATTAGAAAAATCAATCTAAAATCCAAATATAATGGAATTTCCATTAATTGCTGCCTTTTCCTTTTTTTTTTTTTTCTTTAAGCAGAGCGTTCCTCAAGAAAACTCTCTTCAAAAGTGGAAAGATCCCCTTCTACAATGATGAATGCCGACATGGATGGTATAAATTCTTAATGTTCTTGTTGTTCTATTCATTGTTATTCTATTTCGTATAATTTCCAGTTGTTAACAGAGGTTGCACTAAAACTCTCATRATTTATTGCAGCTGTTGAAGCTGAGAATCAGGTGGAATTAGAAGAGAAAACACGGCTTATTAATCAAGTTTTGGAACTGCAGCACACACTTGAAGGTTAGCAGCTTGACACACCAGATTTCTTACAGGCACACAGTAATAAGCAAARGAAGAGAATGGGACTGCTTTCTACCTTACCTTAGTCAYAATGTCCAGAAGTATGTCACTTAAAGCAGTTGAAGGTATAAAACCAAGGTCCTGGAAATAAGTCTTTTTCTYCCTCTTTATGCAACATTACATTTGCTTGGCCTCGATAATACACAGCAAGCAGAATGGGTGATATAGCTAATTTGTCCAGGCTTATTAGAAGACACATCTGAGTCTGCKCATCACTGAACTCTTGTTTCCAAAGTAATTTAGTTTGCAACAGCTTAATTCAAAAATTCAAGAAAGTAATAAAGATACAGACCAGCAGTAAATTTAACAAGTTTGTCAAAATGCTGCACTACAAAATAACATAGGAAAAATGGGCTTTAGCTGAAACTTGCGTAGGAGAATGTTTTATAACATAATTCCCTATGGTAATGTTTTCTGCATTAAAGGTGTGACTAGTCTTATGTAGGCCCATAGAACATATTCATTATTGTATGCAATAGCGTCTAATATTTTTCTTATAATATCACCTTCACAGATCTCTCAGCACGAGTAGATGCTGTTAAGGAAGAAAACTTGAAACTGAAATCAGAAAACCAAGTTCTTGGACAGTATATAGAAAATCTGATGTCAGCATCTAGYGTTTTCCAAACAACTGACACAAAAAGCAAAAGGAAGTAAGGGTTAATTCACAGATTGTCATTGTATTGCTGCTGTCTTTTTTTGTTTTAACTGGCATAGGCTACATAAGCTAAAATACCTTAGTTTGTGGCTTACTGGATACTTAAAGATTATAAACTTTGGTGATTAACAGAATTAAGAGCATTATCATGAGCAGGAGACAGAAGTTTGTGTATTAAGATTAAGCAATGTGCAAATGTAGAATAGATAATCTACAAATTTTTTATATTTGTTTTAAAAATGAGCATATCTTGTTAAAAAGTGGATTCAGTTTGTCAGGTTAAACAAAGGTCTGTTGGCACTCTGAGGTTTTAGGATAGAGTTCTTGACTAGCCAAATAGTAGTTACAATATTGTGTTGAAACCCCATTTGATAAAAACATTCAGACTTTAATTGCATCAATTTTTTCATCCCAGATGTGTTTACTGTGTAGTACTGTTCATAGCTCTGCAAAACAAATGAAACCCTATAAACCAGTTAAGCATTCCTGTGCAGTAGGAACAGTTATGATATTGTTTGCAGGGCTTGTGTACAGARAAACACTTCAGAATTTTTGGGAAGSGGAAGGGTAAGAGAGGAGCAGCAAGGTTAGCAATTTAGTCAGGGAAATAGCAAACTGGTGTAGTATCAGTATTGTAATATGTACACTTGAAACCATTGCCACTTTYCCATTTCCCTGAAGAATGATCAGGCACAGCATCACTACGTATGATCTTCCTGAAGTTCTTCTCTTATGTGAGGAAGAGTTAAATTAAAAACCTAAGTCATAAGCTTTCCAGAAAGAGGTCAGCAATGCTCCTTATACTTGTGAACAATCTGCAGTGAGGAACTGAGAACAAGTCTTTTCCTTCCCATCTTTTACTTTCCTCCTGAAGTGCCAAACTTGTCTTTGCTTCAGGCCTCAGAGCAGCTGTATTCCTGCCTCAGAACCTAAGCTTTTAAAGTGCTTCTTTAGGCACTGCATAAAAACATCTAAGGCAGAAGGATGCAGTGGAAYGAAGGTGGATTTTGCCTCTCAAAGCTGTGCTGCTTTGAGCACTGCCTGGTGTCAGGGCTGCTAGCAGGCTTGGTAGGAGAACTCAGCCCATATTATGAGTCTGAGCACTTCCCACAGTGACAATATGTTCAAGGTAATCAGTATTAAGGGAGAGCAGAAGCTGAAATACAAATATGTAGATTTTAGCAGTACTTAGCTGCATCTGTTTCATCTTGCCTACTCCAGCACTGCAGAATTATTTATGGATGTTAGCTAGGACTGAGGTCGCTCTTCAGTAATGAAGCCATTGTACCTTTTAAAAGGAAACCACTAGTTCAAGGATCTCTCTCAAGCATGCTGTTAATGTGCCAGTGTAACAGAAGAATAAATCCCTCTCAAATCCCAAGTTTCTTAGCAGCTAGGCACTACTGTGTCACAAGAGTGAGTTGATATTGTGACCCCCTTCCCTAAAGTGAGGTTTCCCATTTCTCCCCATTTTAAATGGTTCTGCAGTGCTCACTGGAGTCAAATGACTCTAAACAATGTCAAAAGACTGCAAACAAAGCTCTAATAGTATGTCTTGAGGGCTGTTTACAAGTCTGGCTCGAGAAACCGAATGATGAAAAATGTTTTACCTACCAAGACACAAATGGATGATGCTRCCATTTGTGTCATGGGGTCCTTGTCAGCATCTAAAATTATTTTTAATCTTCGGTTAACTGCTTTCTCACATTACTGGAAYTCTAAATTAATCCAAGAATTGCTAGCAGGTAAAGTAGATCACATGGCTAGTCCAGAGTTTGAGCATTAAAGGAAGAACAATCACAGCAAGCACTTGATTTCTAAAGGTTGCATCACATTACAGCCATCATAGCTTTAAAGCCACGTCACTGCCATCTCCATCTGCACTGTAGGAGATCACCCAGTAACACAGCATGCGTTTGTTAGACTTGAGCAATTCTCAGGATAAAGTAATCTTAAAATCATGGTTTTGTATTGTAGATTGGATAGTGGTATTTTATCCATCRATGTATATATAGTAGTTATTTCATTTCCATGCCATTTTACATCCCACTACTGTGGCCTTCATTTAACTTATGAATATTTTAAAGATGTTGTATTTCTGACTTTACACTAAATAAAAACTTTTCATTTGTCTCAATTAGTTTGGCTTAACATTTGTAAACCCTCTGTCGTAAAACTTCTCACAACTATATGTAGTCAAAAGGTGGAAAAGCAGTAGAGTTTGTGATCATCTTAATGGTTTCTACCTAGCTGAACTGTTTGAAAAACTAGATGTAATTGAAATTAAACCTGGTTTAATGAATCTAGTTTTAAATCAAAGCTTCAGKTCCTGACTCACTTGCTATTTTCAGCCATGAATCTTAAATTTCTGTTATTCTGTTCTGTTGAAGTAAATGTTCTTACTTCATTCAGTGTTGTCAAAAAACTAAACCTTGCACCTTTCCATGYGTGAGATGGTTAAGCCAAGTTAGAAATGTTACCTTTTCCTACACTRTGAGCTCTACATTAGACAGAAACCAGAATTACTATTTCATTATGYCTTCATGAATGTGGATGCCATCTGAAGAGTAGCTTCAGATGTAACTAAATCAAAGGGCTGTGGAAGTGTGATATTCACGGAGTTCCAAAGATGACTGACAGTTTTTAATAACAAGAGTGGAAGTGAGGATTATTACTTTGTTAATTTTATGGCTCTTTCAAACAGCCATGATAGGCAAGATCAAATGTTTTTACTTAAATACCTGTTCAGATAAAAATGGACAATGCACAGGAAGTGTGGGTGAMCTCTAATTGTTACATTGTATCAATGAAGAGGAGTTGCCTTTTCACCTGTCTTTCTACCTCTAGAGCTTCAAATCTCTGGTATTTCTCCTCTAATTACTAGCATAAGTCTCAATCCAAGTACACTGATGTGCAGAACATGTATACTATCTCTAGGTTCTAAATAATCAAAACTGATGGGGCATTAATCAATACTTTATGGGGAAGTTCAAAACTACAAGGGAAGATGAGCATCCCCCATGGGGTGGCCAATCCCTGGAGCAGCTAAATCACAATAGGAGAAAAAAAAGCCCTCCAAAACCCCAAAGCAAACAAATGCCACCTCCACAACCACAYCCAAACAGTGTAACTATGCCAAAGCACTTCTATCAGGCTCAGGTATAATTCATTCAAGAAGGAGAGCTGAAATGCTCCCTGACAGCTCACAGTAACTGTTACTAGCAGGATACTACACTGGTAACAACCTCTACCTATTGCTGAGGAGTCATCTGAAGTCTTCACTTCTTACCTTTTGCACAGAGACTCTAAATAAGGACGTGTGAACTTGCACTTAAAAAAAAGGCACAAAAAGCCCCAAATGACAAAAAAAAAATGGAGATTTTTCCATGGAATTTGCTGGGAAACACTTACTTTTAAAGTGAACCAATTTTGTGCCAGGCACAAGAAAATCCGTTACATTGTTTATGAATTAATGTATTTCTGCTTGTTTGTAATGTATGACTACTTTTGCTAGCATTTTACATACCTTACTACTCCTACAAGCAGCTGCCAAGCAGCAAGAGGCTTCTGGTGACTGAAATTTTATTAATATACAGCTGTACTTTAACAAAACAAAGTTTCTTTACAATATACATTTTATTTAAACTATATTATGAGAATGCCCAAGTTACTCACATCTTGTAAAAAACTTAATCCATCAAAAATTYTTATCTATATCAATAAATTTAATATTAAGCAAGAATTAATAAATATTTTTAGGTGACAATATACACTTAGCAAGTATTCTATAAACAGGTTATACCACTGGTTTGGAACATGAGTACTATAAAAGTTTGAAAAAATCATCTGTATATCACTTCTGCAGATTTGATACCTGCATTCAAAASTAAAACAAAGTCACATCAATTACCACTTGTATTCTATTTTAAAATATATCTTAAAAATAAATTACTGTAACCAATGCCTAAAGTMAACAGGTGACCACCCATGTAACAAGATCAACTAAAATAAATAATTTACAATAAAAATAGTTGCTAGCACAAAACCTTCATACAAAAACAATTATTGCATTTAGCTCTGCACAGAAAAAAAACCCTTTTCTTATAGCTATGTGAACTGCTATAGATGCTACATCTATACTGCCATCCTCTTTTAGCTGAAAACTGTAAACAGCTAATTTTGTGCTAGAGCTGCAAAAGTATTATAATGTATTCATTTAAAAAAATATTTAKAGTAAGTTTATCTCCAACTAATACTGATTTCTAAGAAACGTCAAATCTTAAGAACCTTCACCTAAAAATCAGTCGGTTAACTTGCAATTTTCCTTTTATTTTGAATTTGAAATACCAGCCAACTCTCCACAGATAGTRTTTATCCTTAAAAAAAGGGAATTGAGGAAGTTTGAGATGTTTAAAGAGGTCAGAGAATTGAAATAGGAGGTTAAATAGCAATAAGCCCTCCTCTTCCCTTCAAAGCTGAGGAGTTTGCCAGGCCCCCTGAGGTGGCACAGCAGAAGTTACTGTCTCTAGACCTGCAAACACTAGCTGGAAATAACTCAGTCCTTTCGTACTCTTCTTTTGCGCACTGATTTCGGTGGACGATCTCCCATTCCTTCATCAGGTTCTCTCTTCTGGAAAAAGAAAGAAATTCAGCATTAACATTTTAAACCTATTAAAATTATGGAAACTGGCACGCTACATTATTCCTCCTCCTGAACCCCCCAGTCATGTTATCACTAAATGCAGCACTTAAGTGATAGGACATCTTTTTCCACACTACTAATCAAATAATTAATAGAGTGGGTATAATACTTTTMATTTCTATATTCAGAAGGAAAAGARTAGTATGTCTAAACTGGTGTCAAAATTTTTGGTTTTGCCCATGTACTTGCTGGTTCAAAACTGGTGACTTTTAAATTTATTTAATTAATTAAAATGCACCTTTTGGTAAATTTAATTTCCACTTTTGAAGCAAGAAGCATTTAAAACATTTTAACTTTACACTTYGGAGAGCTACAAATAGAGTAAATTGTTCTTAAATCAGATGTGGTGTTCCCAGTTTAAAAGCAATGGGCTTACAGAGGCACAGGAAAAGCCTTTCCAGTGTGAGATCCATTCTTGGACCATGCATTGCTTCCTCACTTTCCACCATCAGCTAGTGGCAGGCACTTCCTTCAGAAGGAACAGCTCATGGAATGTGGGCCACCCTGAGTGAGGACTTGGGGTACATGATGTGTCCCAACCAGGTCACCAGCTAACTCACAACAGAAATGCCTACATGCTGAAAACACKTAAGAGAAAAGCAAGCCATGGCCTCACTGTCACACTCTGTAATGCCAGACACATTCAGAGCTTGCTATTACTTTCACAAGGAGTCACCTGATCCTTAGTAGGGTTCAGCAGATACTGTATTCCTGGGTGAATGTACAAGGAAAAGAAAACTTACAGGGACAAGGGAAAATACAGAATAAGTGGTAATTGATGAAGAATTTTAGTGCTAAAACAACACAACCACRTGCAAGGTACAGTTTCCTAAAAGTTTTACATGAAAAGGAGTTAACATTAAACGATTCCTCTAACCTAGAAAGGGACTCATTTATGGAGTGACRTGCACAAGACAACCCATGGATGGATCTAAAGGGTTTCAGACTCACCAGTTTYTAAACAAAAGGATAATGAGTAGTTGACAAGCACGCATAAATTCCATTCTACAATGATGTTTTATGAAAAACATTTTGTAAATCATGTGGGTGCCTGCACCAATCTACACAAGAAGAATGAAACTGCAAGTGCTGTATTAAAAAAACAGTACTGTAATTTTGCTTAAAACTTTATTTTGGAATAAAACCCCAAAATGTAACTGAAAAGCTTAAKGTTTTTCTAGGTCTCAGGAAAAAGCTATTTAGTTGGAAGCACATGTTCTATTAATTAAGAAGCACAATGAAGACTGACCAATCTGCTGCAGCATCCAAATTTTCAAGCCTGGCAATTAATTTAATAATCTGTTAAAAACCATACTTCTGTAAAAACTCCCTAAATGTTTAGGGAACTGCCTGATCACTTCTGTATTATACMTGTATTTATGCAGAGCATTTGAGGTGTCAAACTCAAAGGAAAACATATTTCTACCTCAKGATTTGTTTTATGGCTCAATGAATGAAAAACACTTTTTGTAGGTAACTGGGCTTMGTTAGAAGTGTGATGTCAGACAAGAGCAAGAAAACAGGGAAAAATGCAAACTAACCTCATCTTCTGAATCAGATTTATTTGACTTATCACCTTCTTCTTGACYTGCATCTGGAATTTCATTTTCTTCTTCATCTGGAACTTCATTTCCTTCTTCWTCATCATAAATATCTTCACCACCTTCACCTTCGTCTTCTGCAGAAGAAGGTAATTTCACTTCATAAACAGAACTATACTAAAAAGACATTATATCCAGACATTCTAGTAAGGAAAATAAGYCAGTTGCAGTCCTAGAATGAACTGCTTGTTTAGAATAACCCAYAAAAACATCTCTGTGATAGAGTAGAATTCTCATGAATTAGCAGAAATACTAATAATCAATTTTAACAGATCTAACTTTGCCTCTTTTTACTAGACAGTCCATACTGTCTTCCATAATTGTTACTGACTAAAAGGATTTTATTTACTTTACTTTAAAACCAGCTATTGTATTGGACAGTTTTGAGAGCAGAATCCAAAACAGGACAACTCAGGCATCMCAAACGTGACTAAATGTTGACTTCGATGGGGAATTACAATATTGCAGTTATCAGTCATCCAGAATGGGAGACACTTGCATCCTATATGTAACTTCACTTTTCAGCAGGGAATTCTTCTGGCACACTGTTTTGGCTGAGGGATAAGCAGTTCTTTAATTCCCCCATTCTTGTGCRTTTTTGCAATGTAGAAACTAGTCAGAAAAGCTCCCCTTAGCTCACTCAAAGTATGTCCAGCTTGCACTACTACTGCATTACCAATACCCTCTGCAATACTTTCTATCAAGAATAAACAAGAATTCTTAAATCTGACAGAAGGGATATACATTGGCATTTTATAACTCAACAGTCTGCCAGTGGCTTATTTAAAAGCAGCCATGAAATAGTACTCAATTCTGTCCTTGCCAGGTCACACT